GAGAGAGAGAGAGAGAGAGAGAGAGATGGAAAGATGGAGAGGGCCATAGGATGAAGAAAAACCAGTCTGCTAACACGGCCTGGGCTTCCTACAGAGCTTCTTGTGGAGGGGTGGGGCAGTGGCTTAGAGATAAAATCTTTTTGTTGTTGTTGCAGAACTGCAGATTTCTGAAGGAATATTGGAAGGGTTGAGAGGAGGATGGAAGTGATGTCCAAGGACACAACCTGGTCACCTTAGGCGAGGTGGTAATAAAGAAACCAGCAGAAAAAGTGATGGTCTGCCAAAAACGGTTTCTCATCAAATGGGACTTCCCCAGGATTCCTTTGGGAGACAAGACTGATGGGGGGCTTTCTACTCCTGTAAAGAGCGTCTCAGAAACACCCGGGGACAGTTCTCCGCTGCCCTGGAGGGCCGCCACGGCCGTGCGGGAGGAAGAGAGGGTTCCCTTGCAGGAGGCAAAGGGCACACAGCTGCTGGCAGCCCCGACGTGAGAGGAGATGCGGTACAGATGTGTAGGTCGTTGCAAGCCCTGGGGGCGGGCACCAGCTTGTCCTCACATCCGCGGAGTGCTGGGATGTAAGAGGAGGGCAACGCGGTGCCTGCACTCGGTTACACTCTGCGTCCCCGCGGGCCACACGGACCACAGCCCGACCGATCGTCTCCCATCAGAGCCTTTGCTACCTGGCCGCCTCGCGCGCCCAGAGCGCCGGGAAAGCCCCGCGCTGAGGTCACCCCGCGGCGAGGAGCGAGCGGCGTCCATTAGTCACGCGGGGGCGCGTCGCCAGCCCGCGGCCCGCCTGCCCACCCACGGGCTCCGTTCCTCTGTAGGGCACAAGAGCGTTGCTCAACAGGCGCCGCGAGGCCTTCGGTCTTTTTCCGAAGGAGCCTAGTGGCGCAGTGGTTCCGGCGCCCTGCTGCTAACGAAGAGGTCGACGGTTCAAAGCCACTCTGGGGCCGGGAGGCGTGGGGGAGAGGAAGCTGTGGCAGTCAGCTCTGGGGAAACCTGAGGGGGCAGTTCTACCCTGCCCCCCCATAGGGTCACCGCACTCGGAGTCCACTCCCCCGCGGAAGGTGTTGGGTTTAATCTTCACGGAAGGAGACTGTCAATACCTTTCTCCCGCCATTGGACTGCCAGCCGTGCGCTTTGGCCACTGCGCCACCAGGGCTTGTCCGCCGAGCCACCCCTCCCCCAACAGCCGCCCAGCCCGGGGTGGGGGGCACTCGGGTTAGGGTGGTGGCGCCCCACTTGGGTCGGAGGAGGCGTCGACCCCTCGCGCTGTAATCAGCCCCCCAACAGCGACCCCCGCGGGCCGTAACCACCGCCCTCTCGCGTAAGGGGGCGTGGCGCCGCGCGGACGTTGTGCGACGGGGGCGGAGCGTCGCGCGCAGGGGGGTGTCGACGGGGCGCGCATGCGCGCATGCGTCGCCGCGGAAGGCGGGCAGGTGGGTGGTGTCCGGGGCTGTGAAGCTGCGTCTGGCGCCGTCAGGCCAGGGCGGGTTGTCCAGCGTCGGGCTGGCCTTTGGTAGAAGTGAGGACAGTCCGTGTCCATTCTAGGACGGGCGGGCGCTGGGCTCTGCTCCCGGGGAGAGAAGGCGAGGCGAGAGTCGCGGGAGGATGGCCCACCCCTGCCGGCTCCCAACCAGCAGCCCGCGGCGCTGCTGCTGCTGATCTGAGCCCGGAGTGCCAGTTGCTATGGGCGACCAGCTGGGGTCACCCACGCCTTCTGGTTTCCTGAGGGTGTGCTGGGCTTTGCACTGCGGCCTGCTGCAGTGACCCTAAGAGGCCCAAGACAGCCGCCTGACTTTCCTGTCTGCGCTGTTCATTTTAGGGTGAACTCATCCGGAACACTACCATCAGCCCCAGACATGCCAGTCCTTGCAAGATACATGTGCCAGTGGGAGCCTGTTTCCCAAAGGTGGGTAGCATGCAGGGGGCACAGCTTGCCTTGTAGAAGTCTTGTTCCACCCAGCTATGTAGTAAGTATGTCACAGCTTGAGACTACACTCCCTCTACAGCCCATTGACCGTGAATTGGTTCCTGTGCCAAGGTTGTATATCTTTATGGGAACAGAAGTCCTCTTCTCCAAGTAGCTGCTGGATTTGAACAGCAGACCTTTTGGTTAGCAGCCTAACACATACACCACTAAATCCCACCTGTGGCCCTGCATCCCAATGCCATTGAGCCATTGATTCTGGCTCACAGCAACCCTATTTTTAAAAACAAAACAAAACAACTTCACTGCCATCAGGTTGATGCCAACTCTTAGTGACCCTATAGGGTGTTAGAACTGCCCTGTACGTTTCCCAGACTGTAGCTGTTTATGGGAAGAGAAAGGCCTGCCTTTCGCCCAACCACCCTACAGCCCCCTTCCCCACCCTGGAAACAAAGGACAGTCCATTGCCATCCAGTCTATTCAAACTCTGAGATGGAATCCCTGCTTCTTTATTGAACCCTAGGGTTTATCGTTTGTCCATCAATATCTGTTATTAAACCAGAGCATGTGATAGAATTGAGACAGAGGCTTTCAAAATTGTTTTTCTCTTTTCTAACTCAACAAAAGCTGCCTGGTGGAACAGCTGTTGGGCCTATTCAAAGGGAAGGATGAAAGTTTTGCATAGGAGTGTGGCGTGAATGGAAGAGACCTGCCGCCACGGTGAGTGCTTTTGTCACCTGATGCCTTCTCTGGTTGACATGACTTCGAAATTTGAACTTGAGTGATCTTAAAAAAAAATAATAAAAAAAAGAGTGATCTGTCTTGTCAGCCTGCAGTTAAAAGTACAGAAAAGGCAGTGCTAACGTTGGTTCTTTTTTTTGTTTGTTATGTGAGAGCGTCTTTGAGCCTTATTTAAAAGGATGAGTATTTTTCATGTGGCTCTAGTGAGTCAGTTCATAAGAGTATTATGGCTCATATGACAGGGTCATGCTGTTACTGTCCATAGGTTTTATAGTTCCATGTTGGGGAAAGGAATGAGCCATGGCTTCCAGGGTTTCAGATACCCTCCCCAAGAAATCGAAACTGGAAATCGAAATTGGAAATCAGGAAACCAGACAGCCTCAGTAATCGGTTATGCATTTTCTATTCCAGGAAGAAATCAGAGTTCCCTGTCCAAGGAGGGCAGAAAGGAGCCCTGGTGGCATTGTGGGCTAAGCATGGGGTTATTAATGGCAAGGTCAGAGGTTCAGACCCACCAGCTGTTGAATCTGCCCCCGTAAGGATTCCACTCTCAGAAACCCTGACGAGCAGTGCTATTCGGTCCCATAAGGGGCTGCTGTGAGTTGGAACCAGCTTGGTGGAGTGGGTTTCAGATGGGGATGGGTAGATTTGGGTTACTTGTGTGTGTTTGTACTAGTGTAAGGATGGTCGGTTTGAACCCATCCATCAGCGGCATGGGAGAAAGGCCTGGCAATCTACGTCTGCCAAGCTTTCTGCCCAGAGAACCCTCCTGAGCAGTTCTGTTCTTAGCACCTCAGGGTGCTGTGTTTCACAGTCCACAGTTTTGTTTTCATTTGTTTGGTGGAGGTCAAGTAGCCCGACCTCCAGATTACAAAAAACCCAACCCACTGTCATTAGGTCGATGCCAACTCACAGGGACACTACAGGACAGGGTACAACTGTCCCTGTGGGTTTC